ACCTCCACTTCGACCTCGACCTCGACCTCAACCTCTACCTCTACCTCTACCTCTACCTCTACCTCTACCCTTACCTCTACCTCCACTTTTACCTTTACCTCTACCTCAACCTCCACTTCGACCTCGACCTCGACCTCAACCTCAACCTCTATCTCCACCTCTACTTCTACCTCTACTTCCACCTCTACTTCCACCTCTACCTCTTCTTCTACTTCCACCTCGACCTCTGTATCGACAGTTGAGCCGACTTCTGCTGTTGACACCACTACGACAACCACTACGACAACGACAAGAACAGAAGCAGTACGAGTTTGCAGTGGTGGCGAATTTATAGAAGAGCCAGATGCGGGAACTTGCAGTTGCTCGCAGGACTGTTTCTATTGCGAGATTTCCAGTTCTGCAAGTACTTGCGCTCTGTGCTCTAATTTTCGATATCTACTTCCAGACGGCACCTGTGCAAGTGATTGCAGCTCAGCGCCAGGCACCGCGCCAAGTGGCACATCGCTGTTTGGGCGCAGGTGCATTCCGGTGACTGGCAGTGGGACTACCACAACAACTACTACAACTACGACTACAACTACTACGACTACTATGCCCATTACTATGGATCAATGCTCATTTGGCAGCTTGGCCTCCAACGGCGAGGCATGCACATGCACAGACAACTGCTTTAGCTGCGATGTCTACAGCAATGATACACAGGAATGTCTGATGTGCCAAAATCGCAAATATCTTCATAACGGGCAATGCTATGACGACTGCGATGCTTTTGTAGACACCGCGGCGCTCGGAACCTCACTGTTTGGTCGCACTTGCGTGAGCGGCGTGCCGTGTACTAATGGCCAAGCCAATGGCACCTCGTGTCAATGTGGCACAAACTGCTTCGAGTGCCTTTTACGGGCCGACGCGGATGCCATTTGCACCACCTGCGACAATGCCAAGTATTTATATCAAGGCGCCTGCTTTGATGACTGCGATGACTTCAGCAACACGAATCCCACCGGGTCGAGTTCCCAGGGTCGTGCATGCGAGTTGATCTAGCCGCTGGCGAGATTGCCAATAAAATCTGGACACATGTAGGAGTACGAGTGTATTGGGCATTTGTCCATTTCTGTCGCAGCTGTGCGCCGACCATCTTCCCTGTCCGACAAAAGACATGTTGTCACGGTTTGATTTTGTTTCCTGTGAGTTACTCCGTGCGCGACAGCAAATACTCTTATTTAGTGTACATCCATGCCTATGACTGGGTGTTTATTATCAAGGGCGAGCACAGGGAGGGAACTTTCACTCTTTTGGGTATGCAAGGCATCTTGGCCGAGTTACTTTTGAAATTTATAACAATCATCAGATTCCAACTATGATGCGTCAGAACTGAAACTGAAGAAGGCATCGCTCCAGATTAGAGGAAGGCAAAGTTGCTTCTTCCACACTCCAGAAAGGTCTCGCAGGACTGCAAGCATTGGTGTTGAAACGCACGCGGTGCGCACACCATGCACTGTATGACCATGTCACAGGTACTCTTGAAACGGTGTCTCATCCGCCAGGGAGGATGCACGCACTCGGTTGTAGACGTGGCAAATCAGGAAAGGAAAGCTGTAGTAAAGTCAAAGCCAGCAAAGCATGGAAGGTCGAGTTATTGCCTTGGCTTGAAAACAAAGGTCCATTCAAATACGACAGCAAGGAGAACGCCTTGTCAAGGCGAGCACACACACACACACACACACACACACACACACACACACACACACACACACACGCACACACGCACGCACGCACACGCAGGCAGACTGGTCATCAGACGCACCGGGAGGTAAAAAACTGCAAAAACCCCGAGGGGATGGCACCCAAATACTCGCGGAGTTCTGGGGCCATTTCTTGGTAGTGATGACGCTAGCAGGTCAAGCAACAACAATGAGGGCGTTCAAACGTCATTCGACAAGCACCCAAAGCACAGAGTGCCGAACCTTATTGCGCATGGCGCGCATGAGCGCAACGACGGAACTGCCATCATAGGTGCGCCGCCGTTGCAAGTCTTGTAATAAGTCTTGGCCTGTGGAAAGGAGGGCGGCATGGATGGTAAGTCGAACATGCAACATGCTTGGAAGACGAAAAGGCGACGAAGCGATGGAATTGGCAAACACAAAGAAGCTACGCACGCATCTGTACGCGCCAGTCTGCGCCAACTACAGACTGTGCACCGGTCTCCAGAGCTTGTATGACGTCGTCGTCCTTTGCCACTTTTTCAAGCCGATCACTGACTTCCACCAAAAAGGCAAGGCGCTGAAATCGCAGAAACAAAAAAAAAAGCGAAGAAAGGACGGTGGCGTCAGTGAGCTGACACAGATGGCGACCTTGCACATGGTTCGCAGGGTTCGCAGTTGCAGGTACCTTGGAATCATCCCAGAAAAAAGGATGGCGCAAGGCCTCGCTCACGTCTGGCCGCTCTGCAGATTCATGCTGAATCATTCTGCAGATCAAGACACAAGATTTGTCAGATGTGCACATTTCAAAAAGGCTCAAGTCGTTTTGAGAATGAGGAAGACTAAGAGATCAGTGGCGCACTTGTTGATCAAATCATCCAAAAGCTTGTCCTTGGACTTGCGGGGCTGCGGTTGGTTGTGACGGATGCGACCCTCGCGCTCATAACCATCCTAAGCAGGGATGAGCAACAAGACCAGGTCGTCAACAGTGGCAGCGCACGACTCTGCCATCTACAAGTTTGAATGTGTGGCTCTGTGGTAAGGATGTCAATAGGCAACAAAGTGAGTGCCAGACCTTGCCAAAGGGATGAGCGTTGTGATGAAGGTAGTGAACCACACAGCCGGCGGCAAAGACGTCAACGGCCTTGGAGCTGACGCGCTTTAGCAGTACTTCCGGGGCCACCCACCCTGAAACACGGGCCCGGGTGTGCGCAGGGTAAGGCGATCATGCGAGCGACCAAACAAGGAATTGTTATAGCACCAAGAAGAAAAAAAAAAACATGATTAAAGCAGCGCTCAGTGCAAATGCAGATGCAGAGCGCACCGGTCGTGCCAACAGCAGTGGCAGTGAACACAGAGCGATCGTCCAAGATGACCTTGCCAAGCCCAAAATCAGATATGACGGCCCGGATGACTTGACCATGCTCTCGAAGCAAAACGTTTTGCGGTTTCAAATCCCTGACCAAGAGAGCAAACTTTGAGCTCTGCATTACGTCACGGGAGCCATGCTATGCCAGCACATGCTGAAGCCGCAACTCGCAACCGAAATCCAGGTCAAGACGGACCGATGAATGATATTCTTGCCATGCAAGTACTCAAGCCCACGCAGGACGTCGGTGTCCAAATTTCGTCGATCCATGCCCTTCCAAGATCTCATGGATTCGTGCGCTGTCAACGGAAAGATGAGACGGAGGGTGGCCGCCGCGGCAGCTGCGAGGCGACCAGGCCCGTTTCCATCGCCTACCTTCGACAAAGTGCACGAGCGTCCCAACACAGAGCTCAAGAGCAATGTAAAGAAAGTCTTTGTCCTCTTCCTTGCACAAGTACCTTCCAAAAGAGAAGAAAATAAAATGGAAAATTGAAATGAAGAGCAAAAACAAATGAAAGGCCCTTGGACCTGCATGAAAACGTGACGTGCCCGGCCTGTAGACGGCGACGGCGTGATTAACTGAATAGAGGTGGGTGAGTACCAACGCGTACCTAATGACGTTATCATGGCGATCGTGGTTTCGTAAAATCTGCACCTCAAGCTGAGCGGCATCATAATACTGCTTCAAAACACGCTTGACGGCAATGTCTTGGCTCTGAAAACGCCCTGCACAAGAAAACATGCGGCCCGTCCTGTCATAAGCACCGTCGATCTCAACCTCGAGCATCGTTATTCAAGGCTGAAACGTGCAGGGCTGTAACCGCAGCTTTGGGAAGCGCTAACCTTTGCTGACAATTGTACCGTGACTGCCACGCCCCAGGATGATGTCCGACACTTCAATAAGCCTGGGCTGCTGCTCAAGCTGAATATCTGGCCTGGGAACTGATGATGATGACGGTGGTAGTGGCGGAGTAGTAGAATGCAAGGATGAAGACGACGTCGGCTACGGTTCCGACAGACAGGCCGATGGAATAGGGTTAGGTCAAGGGTGGGTCCTTTCAAAGCGCACACAACAAGTAGCAACCAAGCAGACCTCAAAATCAGAGGCAAGCAGAGGACGCGGCGCTGGCTTTGATAAGTGCCGCGTAATCAAGAGAACTGTCAATGTAACAGTTGCGCTGACAACAGCGGTCGTTAGGATGAGTTGCCAGGAGGTAGGAGGGATCGGCGAGGAGGTTTCGCTTGCCAACTCGTTGTCCAAGGTCTCGCCGCCTGGAGGCAAGGTGATTTTTGTGATGTTTGTTCAGAAGGATGAGTAGCCAAAAGCAGGACCAGTAAGAACTGAAACACATGCTACAAGGACCAACACCAAGCAATGCTATCCACAAGCGAAAAAAAACACTTCTTTTTCCTTTTTTTTTTTTTTTTCTCCCCCTGGTTGAATAGAAAGGCTTGGCGAACCTGTGTAATGGAGGATGGCTGTGGCATCCGATTCCGCTGTCAACCCAAGCGCTCGGCACCATGGCATGTCACTGCCACTGTGTCCCGATACGGTGCAGTCGACGGGGTGGCGAACGACCTACCCCAAAGCATACCAACACCAGCGACGCACGTATCGGGTCAGAGATGAAAGAAAAGGCAGGATCACAAAGATAAGAAAGATAACAACAAATAAACATCCCTTGCTCCCCCTCCCTTGAAGTAGAGCCTGCAAGGTTTGAGACGGACCTGATCGTAAGGTGCGAGGTCATTCTGATGCACGTTCAAGTCTCTTTCAAGTTCGCCCACGATGATGTCCACGGGCACCACGTATACGAGACCCTTATTGGGAAGTTGCTTGACCTACACCGATCAAGGATCAGAGAGGAGAGTCATGAGCACGGTATGGCAGAGGAGGGGCAAGCAGGAATCATAAAGGCACAGGGGAAAAGGACCACTGTGAAGGAACGATGTCTTTCGTAAAGAGAGCAGATCAATGGCAAAACTACTATCAAGTAGTATGGCCGACACACCTGTACCATCTGACCCCCATGATCGTCCTGGGAAGTGGTGGCGCTGTGGGCGCTGACCTCGCGCTGCGCCGGGACCTGCCGATCAGCCGGAGGACAGGTACGTACCAGTGAGCCGATTCAAGCCTTGCCGTGCCTATCAAGCAGCTTTGAGGTATTGGTCGGGCAAGCCTCAATGTGCTCTGAACACACTTACGCGATAGAGATCTCCGGCAGGGTCGGCCACCATGACGTCAACAACGTGTGAGCTGAATTTTGCCACCCAGCCTGTGACAGTGATGCATGGCAACCACGGACCAGGTGAGGAATGGGCCAGCACATGTCAAGAACCAAGGCGTCAGCGGGGTAGTTTGTCTGGCAAACACCGACCTGAGGCTTTGCCCATGCGAAGAAAGTAGTCCCCCAACACGCACTCGTTTTGGCGAATGCCATATGCCGCCAGGAGCTGTGGCGAGGCAATGCGGCTCGATGGGACCAGGGAGGCATACTAAGCCGGATGCATATCAGGTGGCATCGATGTGGCCCGGTCAGCTCACTTGTGCAAGAAAACGGGGCGGTGTGCACGGCACGCGTGGGGATTAGCCGGTTTGGCGCAAGAGCGAAGGCGAACCGTCATGTTAAGGCGGAGGTGGTTGCTGCGGGCTTCATTCATGAGCAGCTGAAAACGCGTCCGCCCCACAAAGATGGCGTGGGTCTCAATTGCGTCCAGAGTTGGTGAGGTCTCGGTGGTCAGGGCTTCCTCAAGATCATAGTTGCGCAACACGCGACCAGTGTCAGCTTCCAGTTGAACCATGGAGGAGAAGGCTTTGCCGCGAAAGATGACGGTGCCGTTGGCTGTGTAAAAGCTACGTGGATGGTCGGTTGCCAGATCTTTGACAGTAGTATCAAGGCGTTGAAGAAGAGGCGAGTTGCGCCGGGCAGTGTAGAGGTTACCGTTGAGCACGTCGGGAACAAAGGCCATAGACTCATCGTCGGGGGTCTGCACGAAGTGGCAACTCGGTCAGGATGGAGATGGGATTTGGCATGTGCTGTGCGCTGTGCGACGCGCGCCGCGCGCTGCAGAGTGCCAGCAATCAGCAAAAAACATGCCAAAGCAAGGGGGAAGCCGCACCTGGTCGGAGCCCTCGATGATGGGACCCGTGTCATAGTGCCACATGCGTTCGCCAGTGGCGAGATCAAAGGCGTGCAGGCGACCGTCAACCGTGACCACGTACACGTGGGCCGGTGCATCGGGCGCAAGCACATGTCGCTGCTGAAAATTTGTTGCAGACAGAATGTAATCCAGCTGGTTGGTCCCAGCCTCGCTGCCCAGCCTTGGGGAAAGCCGGTTGCCCAGTAGCTGCTTGGACGAACTCGCCGCCTGCCCATCTCACACACAACAGGCAAGTGAGCCGAGTCCAGGCACTAGCACAAAGGCAACAACGGCGCTGAATACAAACAAGCATCGACACGCTCCAATTCACCTTGCTGCAGCTGATCAACACGGTCAAGAGAAGGGCCATGAGCTGAAGCCAGCCATGGCCACCGCCTCGACCCATGACGAGCGCACCACGAAACGGACAGTGGCTTTTCAAACTGCAGCTCAGAACAAGGCACAACCTAGACCGGCCAAGAAGCCAGAGCAAGAGGCAAAGAGGACCATAGAAGGGTGATTCAACGTGCGCATCGCCAGCGGCACCGCGCCTGCTCAGACACCGAGCGCGTTGCCGATGCACCCGCTGCCGTTCTTGACATGAACCGAAAAAAAAAAAATAAAAGCCGGCACAACCTTAAACCTCTCTTCAGCAAAAGCTGCATAATTCTCTTCAACAACTGACGTTGTCTTATCATTACAGTTCATTGATATATCAAGTTGACATGCATCTTTTTCGTATTTTCCGTATTCTTCTCAGAAGCCCTGTCAGTTGTCAGATGGTTGTGGCTTACATGTGCGAGTCTTTCGGCTTATTCTCTGAACCAAGCTGAAACGCTCTCCTATCTCTGAAACCCACTATAAATCCCTTTCGTCTTGGTTACAAGCAAGCCCTGTCTCTGTGTCTTTCCCACACGAACAATCATTCTCTCGCTTATGCCACGTCAGAACGCTGCCAAGATCCAGCAGGCGAAACCAGTCAATCATGCAATTATTGTCATCTTTTACTGTCATCTTTTATTGTCACCTCGGCAGCGTGACCCCGCCCTGCTCTGTCGGCGTGCTGCTCGTACACGACGACCGACACTACAGCGCGTGCTCACGGTACCGCTGGAGCAGGATTTGGCTGGTGAAGCATGAGCAAAGTGCTACCTGCACTTTGATCAGTACCAGGGTCTCAACTTTGAGTTGGTCCTCGAACCTTCCGGTTTTTCTTTCCCACTGAACAGCCAGACCGTTGCAGGTTTGGCCTCCTCCCTGCACGATGGCCCTGCGCGGGTTGCTGCAGGTGGCGCGAGCGAGGCCAGCAATCTTTCCCACGGCCAGAGACCCGTGCAAAGCTTTGATTTCCCATGTTTTCACCGTCCAGTCCCACCAACCTGTGCGCTGGTTATCCTTGAGCCACCGATTAGCCGTGGAACACACCATTGACGATGACTTTTCCGACAAAGCCCATGTAAGTCTCCACATCCAGCCTGAATGTGACGGTTTCTTTCGGAAGCAGATGGGTGGGCGTGTACTGCTCGCCGACGACGTTCCTGCCGGTCTTGGTTCAAAACGCCTCGAGACAGAGCCAACCCACCCATGTACAAAGCTCACGATAAATGTTTTGAACTCTGCTAGGGCTTTGTGGACCACGTCCGCCTGCATGTGGTCGGCGGCACCGGCGGGCAGGGCAGCGCGCGCCATGGTGCCATGGGCGGCCAAGGCGGTGACGTCTTTGCCATGGCAGACCCCAATGTGACTACGCTCCAGGCCCTGCGAAATATGAAGCGCTGCCGAGCCGAGCCTGGCGAAAATGGTAGTCGTCACTCTGCTGAGCGTAAGGGTGAAGGTGCGTTACATTGAGGTAAACCTGTCCTCCAGGGTTTGATGGCGGCCGCGCCGTGGTAGTGCGAGGCTCAATATCTCATGACGGTTGAATCGGCATTTGGCAGATGCCATCCTCAAGGTGCCCGTCGGCACGCTGGTCTGCTTTGACAACGGCGAGCCCTTGGCAGACCTCTCCCAGCCTGGCGAAACAGCGCTTCTTGCCCGGTCAGTCGGCATCCCCCGTGGCCACCCCTAATGCAGCTGTGAACCACCTTGCCGCTGAGAAGCCAACTGCTTGCCACTCACCGGGCGATCACCCCCGAATCTCATGGCTTTGTGCACGTTGGCTTCCACGCAGCGGCGGCGACGGGGGCAGCCCCAAGACCAATTCACAGTACTCGGGCCTGCGTGGCGATCGTAACCACGTCATTTTTGAACTCAAAGCCATCGCTGACGTGGGCCTGGTCGGCTTCCCCAACGCCGGCAAATCCAGCCTGCTGCGCACCATTTCCCGGTCGGTGCTCGAGACTTGTGCCTCACACACCCATCTCACAGCAATGCGATGAGTGGATCCGTGAGCAACAACCTGTTCAAGGCCTGTTTGCGACGGCCCTCACCATCAAATTTGTCTGGCGATGATTATTGCGAACAGGGCACGGCCGCGCATTGCTTCGTACCCCTTTACAACTCTCCATCCCAATATTGGGACGGTGGAGTACGACGACTTTGGCCGAATTTCAGTGGCTGATATCCCTGGCCTAGTGGAGGGTGCCGCTCTCAATCGAGGCATGGGCCACGCCTTTTTACGCCACGTCGAACGTACTCATGTGAGATTCAGTGGCCGACATGTTGTTGCGTGCTGTGCCCAAACGCTTGCTGCGCCGCCTTTGTTCTCTCCTCTCTGCGTTGTGTCTGCGTTTACTCACAGCGCCCTGCACCTGTCTGGCACACACCCGCCTTATGCATGTGCGCTGCGACCTGCTCGTCAACGGGGATAGGTGCTTCTCTTTGTCGTCGATGCGCATGGATTCAGCCACAAGGAGCACCGGTCCACGGCAGAACGTGATCTTCAAATCCTGTTGCAAGAGCTCGAGGCCTATTCAGCCGAGTGGCTCCGATCTCGGCGCTGCATTGTCTGCTTCAACAAGGTGGACACGCCAGGCGCTGCAGAAAAGTGGGCAACCTTCCGGGCTGAGTTTGACAAACTGGTTGCTGATGGCCGTTTGCCGGCCCAGACATCCCTCCTGCCCGTCTCTGTCAACACTGGCGCGGGACTCAAGCGTTTGGTGAAGATTCTACGCCGCGAGGTTGAGGCTGCGCAGGCTGATGCCGAGGCCGAAGCCGCACCTTCCCAGGAGAATGTGGCCCCTACGGCAAGTTCTGACCCTTATGCTGATTCCGACTACGAGCAGGTTGGGCCATACATCCCGCAGGCCACCCTGGATGCTTGGACGGGCACTAGCGCATCGCGCAATCGGTTGCGCCCCAAGACGCGGCGCCAGGTGTTTGAGGAATACCTATTTGGCGAAGACACGGACATTGTACAAGAGTATCGCAAGCGGGCCCGGCGTGTCTATGATGACCGCCGCTGAGCACGGCAGACACTGGGTGTCACGTGTGTAAGGGCTTTGGCCAGAGTTGAAAGGGCGTTGGCATTACATGCGTGATTGGCGCCAAGCTTTCAATTCGATATCAGAAACGACATATAGCAATGCACAGCAACATGACCGGGAATTTCATTTACGAACGACGGAACGAACGAGAGCGGTATTGCGAAAACTCCGTTGTCGAGGACAAGAGAGGAAATCATACAAATAGCGCGACCAGCAAGAAAGGTATCATGCTGCATCAACATGCACAAGACAAATAGACAAGTAGCACAGTATCGAGATCGGATGGCGAAGTAGGCAGAGCGATCAGAACACTATTCAGACAAGGAAGAGGCGAAAAGCTCGCCGACGACGCCCGCCATCACGCCGTGATGACGATGGAGGAGAGCAAGCAAAGTGGACTTGTCTTGGGGAAAGCCCATTTCGCGGAGCACACTCAGTTGGGTGGCATAAGCCTCCTCCTCGTGGCCATGGTGTAGGCCGGCCTCGGTCTCGGTCTTGCTGGTAGCACGTGGTGGAATCTGATCTGCGGCAGACTCTTGCGTTGGGGACAAATTCACAAAGTCCCACGCGTCGGCGCCCGTTGCATTGGCGGTGGTCGCGGTCGACCCGGAAGTGGGCGTGCTGGTGCCAAGCTTCTCGGCAGCCGCGGCAGCGGCACGCACCTGCTCTTGTTGTTGGTGTTGTTCTTGACCTTGTGCGTACTGTTGCTGCTGCTGCTGCTGCTGCTGCTGCTGCTGCAGGCGTCGGCGAGCTTCCGCAGCCGCAGCTCGAGCAGCTGCAGAGCCACGGCGCTGTTGCTCCTCATCTCGCTCGGCAGTGCGGCGTTGGCAACGACGACGGCAACGTCGAGCACCTCCCTCCTGCTCGGAGTTATCATCAGCAGACTGGGCTGGGCAGCGACGAGTACGCGGGCAGCGGCGCAGACCATCAACAAACACGCCAAAAGGCCCAAGATTGCCAAACACTTCTTGGGCTTGGCCAGCCAACGAGCTGAAGGCTGATTCAAAGGCCTCGTTGAGATGGGCGCGGCGCTCGCGCTCGTCGTCGGGCACTACGATGATGAAGCGGACAACGTCGGTCTGGAAGACGCGAGCAAAGGTGTCATATGCCACCTGCAGTTCATCGCTACCACCAATGATGACCCGGTCACGATCTTCATCTGCAAGCATACGAGGCAGGCACGGTAGTGGTGTGAGTTGACGAGTCGAGAAGTTGAAGCGAGCGTCGAGCGCGCCGAGGAGTCCAATTCAAGGTATTTGGGAGGCTGGAGCACGTACCGATCCAGGTCAGATGCCAGACGTGGCCCGACAGGGTGCTATCGGCATCGATGGCCTCGATGGCATGGCGCAGATGGGCCACATCGAGGAACTCATCGCGAAAGGGCAGACGACGCACGACGTTGTTGGGAAGGTAGAGCTTGATGGAGGTGAGCAGAGTCATGGTGATGGCCAAGGGTCAGTGCTGGTGCTGATGCTGGTGCTGATGCTGGTGCTGGTGCTGGTGCTGGTGCTGGTGCTGGTGCTGGTGCTGGTGCTGGTGCTGGTGCTGGTGCTGGTGCTGGTGCTGGTGCTGGTGCTGGTGCTGGTGCTGGTGCTGGTGCTGGTGCTGGTGCTGGTGCTGGTGCTGGTGCTGGTGCTGGTGCTGGTGCTGGTGCTGGTGCTGGTGCTGGTGCTGGTGCTGGTGCTGGTGCTGGTGCTGGTGCTGGTGCTGGTGCTGGTGCTGGTGCTGGTGCTGGTGCTGGTGCTGGTGCTGGTGCTGGTGCTGGTGCTGGTGCTGGTGCTGGTGCTGGTGCTGAAGTGGGAACCGGCTAGGTTGAGAAAAATGCCACTGCCAGCGCTCGGCACTCTACTTGTAAGAGGACATAAGTGACGTGTGGGACGAGACGCGGTCCAGAATGGCACCGCGCCTCTTACCAGCACACCAGCGACTGGCATCGTCTACCTGACGTGGGGGATGGGCAAGTGGCTGCGGATGAGGTCATGCTGGACGAGAATGGCGTCGGTCAATGTCGGATCTCAAACGACCCCCAACGTCAGTGAAGCATCAACTGATCCAGACCAATAACGGTGCAAAAGGACAAGTTCAGCCGGCACTTCCAGCACCTTCCAAAGCAAACCACCACCACCCCTGCCCAAGGCAGTGCCAGCCAACCCGATCACCTCCCCCCAGTTCAACTGCACCATAGCTCCACACACACACACACACACACACACACACATGCCGACTGCTCTTATGCCAACGTTACATGTGTGCACCCGACGTTGTAGTGCGTGTGTGTGTGTGTGTGTGTGTGTCATTGGCCTGACTACTTTAGCTTCACATCATGATGATGATGTCCCTCTTCTTGATGTCAGATAGATCCTTTGCGTTGTCAGCAAAATTGTGTTTGTCAGATCTTTTTGCCAGTGTGATGAGCACCCCAAAATACTTTTGATGTACAGAAAGAGCCTTTAGACCAAGCCAAAGTCTCACAAGCCTAAGAAAACGATAAATAAGTAATATACTTTATAATGTTTCACAACGTCTCTGGTATTTCAAGCAAGGTTATTTAGAGAGAGAGAGAGAGAAAGAGAGCGCGCGCATGTGGGCGATCAACCATTTTATCAAGGTTGTGGCCCTCGCTGCCTCGCTCTCTGCCTCTCTGCCTTTCTGGCCTCGCTCCCTGTCGCGGTGAGGAAGGCAGTGGGTCGCGAGTTTGTCGTGGGAATCAGGCTCTCAAATGCCAGTGTTGTTGGATCAAGTTTGAATGCTCCCAAATGATGGCCATGGACGGCTGTGTTGTCTTGGAGGGACCCTCTCGCTCTGCGATCCTGCCTCATTTCCATCTGCCTGTGCCCCTGCACCCTCCTCCGTGGTGCGACTGCTGTGTATTGTGCAGGCTTTCGCTGTCGCCCCTGTGCTTTGTTCCCATAGACCAACACCATGCATCTCTGGCTCCGCAGTGAAGTCAAGGCCAACGAACACCGCACGGCCCTCACCCCCGAGGCCTGCAAGGAGCTTCTCGGCGAAGGTGTGCCCGCTCGCACGCACATGCACACACATATGCCCCGATCCCTTGTGTCTGTGTTCTCCATTTCTGCCACATCCTAATGAACTAATGTACACATTTCCCTGGCGCTCCACCTTCCATAGGCTACACCATCACCGTTGAACGCTCGCCTGAAGCCAGCACCAAGCGCATCTACGAGGACAGTGACTATGAAGCGTGCGTTGAACATTTTGTCTCCGCAATCGTGTCAACCTGTGAATTGCCTGTCTTTTCCCGCCCAGCGCTCTCGTCAACAAGGTCATTGATATTGTGCCCGGCCTAGCCTCATCACGATACTTGATTTTGTTTTGAATGTGTATTCGTGTGGTGTATGTGTGCTTTCCAGTGTGGGCTGCCAACTGGCTGAGAGCCAGAGCTGGCCCTCGGCTCCAAAGGATGCCATCATTGTGGGTCTGAAGGAGCTGCCCGAGGATGGCTCGCCTCTTGAGCACACCCACCTCTACTTTGGTCACTGCTACAAGAACCAGGGAGGCTGGAAGGATCTTCTCAAGCGCTTCCATGCCGGCAATGGCAGCCTTCTCGACATGGAGTTTCTCACCAATGACCAAGGTGAGCCTTTTATTCCCGTACCCACCCCGTATCCACATTTGTGTGGCTGTTTCCGGGCTGTGTTTGTGCCTATGCGTGTGGCTGGAAACCCGACAACCCCAAGAGCGCCGGCTTACCATGTGCTGAGCTCTGCTTCCCAGGCCGTCGCGTTGCCGCATTTGGCTACATGGCCGGATTCGCCGGATCCTTTTCCGCCTTGGACGTCTGGTGCCACCGCAAGCTCGAGTTCGTATCGCTCTTGCTCTTGTTCCCTTCTCCCTCTCTCCCTCAGTGACCCAGACCACATCAAGAAACCTCACCCTCGTCTCACGTCGTGGTCCAGGGGTGACAAGCCCTACGGTGCCTTGTCGGCCTATCCCAACGAGGATGAGCTCCTCAAGTACAGCCGCGCACGAATCGAGGCTGCCGCGGCTAAGAATGATGGCCGCCTTCCCCGTGTTCTCGTCATTGGCGCGCTTGGTCGTTGCGGCAACGGTGCCTGTGACTTTGCCACTCGTGCCGGCATTCCTGAGTAAGCCAATGAAACCATGGTTCTGCCACGACTTTGCAGCCCCTACCAGTTTGGTAGACATTAAAGATATCCGAGGCCTCATTGTTCGGCTCGGAATGCAATGCAGAGCCAACGTGCTGCGGTGGGACATGGCCGAGACCAAGGTCGGCGGTCCTTTCAACGAGCTGCTTGATGTGGACATTTTCGTCAACTGCATCTACCTCTCACAGCCCATCCCACCCTTTATCACCGAGGCCATGCTCGAGAAGGAGGATCGGTTTGTGCCATCTCTTTTTTTTTTATTTTTCCCTTCTCCTTTTTCTTCTTCTACTTTTCTTCTGTGCCCGAAACGCCTTGAACACTTCCTCACGCACACTTTTGCCACCCTTGTGGATATTTTAGCGCTCTCTCGGTGGTGTGCGACGTTTCTTGTGATACCTCCAACCCCCACAACCCCATCCCTTTTGCCAACAAGAGCACCACCTTTGACGAGCCCACTTATCAAGTCAAGCCCAAGTAAGATCCTGGTACTCGATCTTGCCAGAGATATCCATCCCACCATGGACCGCAGCATGCTTCTCATTTTGCGCTTTTAATGACTCTGCCAACTTCAGGGTGGGCGGCCCTGTGGATGTGATCACCATTGATCACCTGCCCACGCTTTTGCCCAAGGAGTCCTCGGACCGCTACTGCCATGATCTGCTTCCCTCGATTCGCGAGCTCAAGAACGTGCGTTTCGGAATGCTTTTCTCTCACTTGTCCTTTCTCCTGAACCCATGGATGTTGAAGCTCACCTCTCACGTTGTGTGTGTGGGGGGGGCTACATTGCTGGATGGCGGTGTAGATGGATAGCAACCCAGTCTGGCAGCGCGCCATCAAGCTGTTCGAGGAGAAGAAGGCACTGGCCCTCGCCTAATTGCAAAATGCCATGTGCAACGCTGGTGCTGAGACGATTCGATTGGATGCACGATCCAGCCACATCGTTGTTGAGTAGCCCTTGTAGAGTGTGCGATGAGAATTAAAGGCGAGCTTGGCAAGATTCAAGTTCCAATTCACATGTAAAACTTATTTGCTTTTTTTGTCAACCTAATCTGCAAGCTTACAAACCTTTCAACCGATGCCAAACTAGCCACGTCAAGGCTCAGAGCAAAAGGCATGCTACGAGCCGCGTACGCCCTCACCCGAGCTTAATTTGCAGGCTTGGTTGCATCCGCGAGCCATGCATCGACGAGTTGAATGGCCTCCTCTACTGTCTCCTCCAGGGGAGCGTGCTTGCCCTTGGCCACGGCGTGCGCAAATACGGACCGCAACATGGCGGCTCGTCCTGTGCTGCCCATGGCTTGGAGATCAGCCATTGAGCTACAGCCGCCGGCTGCAAGCTACCAAGCAGTAACGAGGGTAATTGCAATGAGCGTCGGGACCAGCTGGCAAAGCAAACAAAATCACCGCAAAGCCTCTTGACCCCGGCACATGCCTTACCGCGTCCATCAGGGGAGTCAAACTCGTGGGCATGATCCAGGGATGCTTTAATGAGGTGCCAAGCTCGTATAGAAAGGCAGGCAGTTCCAGTGCTTTGTGGCTGGACGGATGCACATACACGTCAACTTCGCGCAACTTGGCCTCAACAAGACCCCAAATGGGCAAGCGCCCGTCAAAGTCGGGATGCTGCTCCCGTAATGTTTTGGCAATGGCTGTCAGGTAGGCTGGACTAGGCGGACCACGCCACTCGGGGTTGGTGGCGACATAGACGGAGGCAGCAACATGGTGTTCTTCGCCGCTCTGGTCACTGATGGTCGCCATGACGGGTTCCCGAGTGTAGCCGGCTTCAAACACATCGAGGCGCTCCAGTTGCTCAGGTGTCAGCGCGGTCAGTGAACCCATCACGCGATGGTCCGGAGCTGGGTAGATACTCGCGACTGAACCGCCCCAGTTCAGGGAGCGGAGGCAGAAGATGCGCGTATAGTTGGCCACGTAAGCTGGCCAACTGGGAAGAGGTACAGCCGCATGAACACGTGCCTGCAGTTGTTTCATCCCATTAGAACCATAGCTAAATACATAGTGAACAGGCATGGCCGTTTTGGCCGAGGCCACGGCTGCTGCCAGCGTGCGCGAAGCCATGATACTGAGCGAGGTGTGTGTGTGTGTGCGTGTGTGTGACGAAAAAAAAATGAAGAAAGTGTCACTGACTTTCAAGGCAGAAACACGTTGGTCGATTTGGTCTATCTGTCTCACTGGTTCTGTGCGACCAAGGCCAGAGCCTCGGTGCCTGGCTCTGAGGTCTTTCTGAGCGATGACTGCATGAACTTTGGGCTGGCCATCACGGATGCTGTGTTTTGCTCACCTTTGATATTGATATGGCATCCGCCGTGACCATGTGTGTTTACGTCGGATATTTTGATTTCAAAGAAAGGCGCAACAAGAGAGTTGACCCTTGCGGTCAGTACGAGCGACGGGCGCAGAAGCAACTCAATGATTGAGTTGGGGGCTTTAATCCAGGGTGGCGCCACCATCAATGACAATGATCTCGCCTGTAATGAAGCTGGCATCTTTGGAAGCCAAAAAAGCTACTGCACTGGCCACCTGCAAAGTGGACGGCCCAAGACCAGTCATCCAATCATTCAATGCACATGTGAGTCGTAAGGTGCTGGTGTGCGCGTGCAAGTATATAGTCCAGGGGCAACCGCACCTCCTCGGGCTGGCCCATGCGGTTCATGGGCGAAGCGCTGCTAAAATCCTTCTTGCCCTCCTCGATTGTCATCCCTGTTCACATCAAGGGTGGCGAAAAAGTCAAGGGGGAAAAAAAAGTTATCGTCAATAACCCAGCCAATGCCAGCCAAGGGCTGAGATGTAAAAGGGATGGAGTGGTGCGGCAGGGTGCCCTACCCAGGCGTTCCATGTGGCGGACCGAGGCGGGCGTGAAAATGGCCCCAGGCGCGACGGCATTTACGCGGACTTGCTTCTGTCAACCATACCCAGGCGAAGCCCGTACGATCAAGTGAGTTGCCGTGAGAGGTGCATAGCTGATGTCACCCAAGGCATGCGTTCCGACACTGGCACGCCAAGCGCACCGGAGCAAAATCCCAGGCCAAGCAGCGCGTCAGCTGGGCAATGGCCCCCTTGGTGGCATTGTAAATAAACATGTCTGGCTGAGCCACAACTACACAAGCGCAGGACAAAGGCAGGGGTGAGGAGTCGTTGCATCCAAGCTGACTGGGCGTGCAATGGGTCAAGGCGGGTCAGGGCGGGTCAACCATAACAATGGCCAAGAAAAGGGCAACGTACAGGAGCTGACCGAGGCCAGGTTCACAACGCTGCCTTGGGTTGCCTCAAGATGAGGCTGAGCCGCCTTGATTGCGTTGGAGTAGCCCATCACATTGAGGCGAAACAGGCTAATGTAGTCGACCAAAGGAGGCACACCAAACGCATCAATCCCAGTCATTAGCAACAGCATCACAATGACCCTTGGCACAGTGGAGGACATCGTAAAGGGGTCAAGAGCCTACCGCTCCCAGTCGGCGTCGGTCGAGTTGGCCAGTGATTCAAAGTGAAAGCCAGCGGCATTGTTCACCTGTGACCCCACATGACATGTCGAATCAATCATCACTCGAAGTCACAGAGCAGCTCCGGGTTTGGCGACATGCTGAATAGGGTCCGTACCAGAACATCCAGTTGCCCAAAGGCTTGTACGCACTCATGCACGGCAGCGGCTGGTCCATCGGGCTGCGACATGTCCACCTGTGCCGACACGGCCTCGACGCCGGCCGCCTGAAGCAATGGAACGGTACAGGGGTCAGTTGGCAGGTGCAACCCGGAGAGTCATCCTTCAAAGCGGGGGGGAGGGAACCCCATCCATCTATGCACAACACAAAGCACCAAACAAGCTCCAAGGCCGAGGGGGCAGGAGGGATGCAGCCGATCCCAAAGAGGGCTGGACAAAAAAGGAGCGCGATCCGGTAGCCGCACCTGGAGCGCCTTGGCCGTGGCCGCTGCCGTGTCGGCATGCAGGTCCACAACGCAAACGCGGGCACCCTCGCTGGCCAAGCGCTGGGCAATGGCAGCCCCAATCCCAGCGCCGCCACCGGTAACCAGCGTTGCCAGTCCCTGAAATCGAGCCAGTGCACTCATGATTGTCGGTCTGATGCCGTCGCCGCTGCCACACACGTTCCAAAAGGTTACAAGCGGAGAATGAGCGACAGCTCTCGGTACAGCTTCATTATCTCTACATTTTCCTTCACAAACTCTTTTGTATTTAAGCTCATGATATCTTTATATTATTCAACTTTCTGCATTTTCCCCCAATGTGTCGTCACTGTTGGCGCCAACGCTGATGCACCACCCTGAGACGCTGATAATTCAGTGCTCTAAATTTAACAATGTTCTTCAACTTTAAATTGTTCAGTCCGAACGACACGCGCGTTCTCAAATGAGGACCGCTGCATGCACTGGTGTACATAAGCACGCTTGAGCCAGAACCTGTACCTCTTGACGATTGAAGCATAGCGCGCGAACACACACACACACAGAGGCGCGCAAACAAACAAACAAAAGAAAAGGGGGTGAAACATGCGCCCGCTGCGCCGCTGAAGCGGGTCGGGGTGTGTGATCCGTGATCCGCCCACTTTTCTCAATCCTGTTTGGATACGCCACCGATACGTATGACCCGACATGCACACCTGTGTGACCACATCCAATACACTCACAGCAACAAGAGCTACCACAGGTGTGGGTTCGATGGCATGCCCGTATACCCAAGGGGTGGGGACGACTTTGTCATACAATTTTAAATGTAAGTCTGTCTGTGTGTGAGAGAGAAAGAGGGGAGACGGCAAAAACGGTTTGGAACGGTAGCGGTGGCGACGACGAGCGGCAGCGGGGGGGACTCGCATTCGTGCCGGGTACAGGGTGTACTCTGTCTGTCTGTGTGCCTGTCTGTGTGGTGCTGAGGGTGTGAGGGTGTGAGGGTGTGAGGGGAAGGTACATGGCAACTTGATGCTGGACTCATGTCAAGGTGTATGCTGTTGATAGGACTCTTCGACGAGGACGGGGGCGGTCCTCAGCGACTTGACGACGTTCGCGCCCCGTGGAGCGCTTGATCATTGCCCGGCGCGCCTGCGGCCCGTGTTTTCATCGAGTCGAGTCTGTTGCCTGGCGCAAGCTCCCGCTAGCATGACGAGCACCATCGATCATGCCTTTGCGGCACAGACAAAGTACTTTGCGGATGTGGGTCGCTGCACGGCTCGGAATCGGCTCGTGCAAGCCATCCTCTTTGTCGCCGGTGCGGCCCTCATGGGCGGCATGATTTACGGCACCGACTTTATCGAGACACAATCTGACCTTGAAGAATTGTGTATGTTTGGATCTTTCTCCGCCCCGTCCACTCCCGCTCGCGTGCGGCTGCTCATTCTGCCATCCGCGGCGCTCTCTGCCACCCCGAACCGTGAATAGACACTCACAATAATGACAAGCTCAAGACGGAACTCTCCATCAACAACGGATATTTTGGTGGGCTGGCCCGTCAGCAAGCCACCATTCACACCTCAGACTCGGGCAACGTCGCCACCCAAACCTCGTACGTGAGACCTGTCACGCTGGCTCCTCGGCCATCAACAACTCGGCTTGGCTTGGCTTGGCTTGGCGCTCACCACCGGCCTGGTCTGCCTTGGCTCCCTTTTTCTCAACCCGTGTTTCAAAAAAAAAACGCTCAGCCTGGCGAGTATTCAAGCCGGCTTGACGCCAGTTTTCAAGCTCGATGAGACAGAGAAATGTGCCGACCTCGACAACGTCGCCGCTGCCCTCCCGTCCTCGTGCGAAGTCGAGCCCTTTGCTTCCGAATCAGTCTATTGCGCTTGCTCCACCCTCGCTGCCAGCCCCAATCAGATTACTGTCAACATCACCCTCCTTGACGTGCGTTCCGACACCACACCTCTCATGTACTCTCGTGTGCACCGCGTTGTCTGATGTCCGTTCGGCAAGACGCTGAAAGCCTCACGCAACCGATGCTGCCATTGTTAGGCCAACGGTGACGATGTGACTCGACAAGTCCACACCGTCGACCTCTGTGAACGGCCAGAGGTACCCGATGCCTTTCTCCCGAACACGGTACGAGTCAAATTGTTTGACTTGCACCCCATTCAGATTCATTCGTATCGCAAAGGCTGGCTACAGGGTGCATCTTTGCACGAGGGCGCACCTTCCTCGTCTGTTTGGGCCCCAACCCTTGACCTCGACCCCTGGCGCCCCTGCTGTAGGCTGCCTCCATCTTTTCGCATGAACCAGACGCCACATCAGGCCTGGTCTATCAATCTACCCTCAACGATGTCTTGGCCTCTACTGAAACGGTACCCAAGCGTCGCCTCTTTCGCCTCTGTGCTCCGAACCCCGCATGCATACACAGATCCCATGGTCTAAGCGCCCTCATGATGCCCTGCGCTCTTAACCCCTCCCTCGCAGGCAAGCTTGACGGACAACGCCGTGTATACCGCAACTCGTGCCGCAGCATTGGCCCAATGCGAAGCCGCTTTTCAGTCCACCGTGACCACCGTCTTCACCGCCTCTGGACTCAGCGACCTGCTCTTGGGTGCTGGCGCGTGTCAAGTCGGCGTGGCCGCCGTCCTTGGTGCTGCGCTTTCGTTTGCCGAAGACAACTCGCTCGACCAAGCTCGCCTCGCAGACATGTGGAGCCTCTTTATTCAGGACCCAGACGCCACTCAGGCGGAACTTGAGGATGCCTACAACACCAATGCCGGTGACGCCACCCGCACGCCCGTACGTTCGCTCGTTGAATGCTAGTCTGTTTCTCTTCATCTTCTTTGCGATTCTTTCTCCTTGCAGGCCGGCCCTGCGTGCCAGCTGACCTCATCTGGTGTGCGTATCAAAACTGGGTCGTATCACACACTAGGCCTTTAACACCATTGCCACCGTCAATTCGACCGTGGTGCTGGGAGCCGACGTCATGTCAGCTGCCGTTACTGCTGCGTTTTCGGCTCAGCAATTCTACTACCTTGCTGATGGCCACATCGTCTCAGCGACCTACGCCAACCTGGCGACCTGCACGGGCGAGTACGTCTGGCCATAGGCTTTCGGCGCTTTTTTTTTTTTTTTCCCCTCCTTCCCTCCTTGTGTCATTTCACTCCACACGGCTGAATCACTTTGCTGTGTCTCAGGTTCATGGAAGGCCGAATCAGCAATCTCGCCGAGACTGTGCGCGGCTTTGTCATTGACGACTATGAAGCCTCCTCGGCCGCCCTTGCCGAAGTGCGCACTGAGTTTCCCTCCATCACCACGACGGAGTATGCCATTGCAGGTCTGGATGCCGCCTACGCCGTCCTGAACCAGCTTGATGACCCTCTGGATGCCAGTGCGGAGACCCTTTTGACAGCCAAGCACGAATACATGTCCGCAACCGACCTCCTGTGGTACCTGATTGTCAATGCCACCGCCACCCGCGACGGCGAGAGCTATGACTATCAGGCGTTAGCCATCATTCGAGAAGACATTCTAGAACAATACTTGACAGACCCTACGCAACAAGGCCAGCCACCCAACGCTTCGGCCATTGAGAGTGAAGCGTATGCCACCTATTTTTCCGAAACGGTAGAGTATTGGCCATCGTTTCACTTCCTCTACCTTGCTGCGCATTGACGACGCCTCACCCCTTTGCTCACGCGATGTGTCGGGCACTATGCAGACGAGCTTCACCAATGACACCTATTCTGAGATCCAATCGGCCTCCGACGCTGTGGTCAAGGCGTACGAGTACATGGTCAAAATCACAAACGAAGCCATCCCAGCTCTGGTTGATGCCATCACCAAGGAGCGATTGGCCGCTGGTACTTTGGATTTTGACATTATGACAGCGAACCATACCCTCCGAACTTTACCTCGCCTTTGGGGCGTGGATCGGTTAGTGCCGCCCACCCATCCACGGCTTGCACTATCCACTGGCTTGAGCGCCACGCCAGCAGAAGATGGCGCTATGAGTCAAGGGCGCATCCCCTCCCTTTTCACTTCTCAGCTGCAAATGAAAAAACTTCCACACACACACACACACACACCCCTCCCTTCGGGCCCCAAAAAAAAGTCAAGGCTTTACATACTCATGCAGCTTTCTTCATGCCCTCTCGGCCCATCGGGCGGCTTCACAGGTTTCCCTGCAACCGCCTAACACCCTTGGACCCATTTGCGGAGGGCGCCTTTGACTATCCCTACAATCTACGCCTTCTTCAGGCTGTGGGCCCAGCCGTCAAGCTCTTTTACGAAGCCAGCTACTTTGAGGACTTTGTCACCGCTAGCAACTGCTACGCAACTATGGTCACTAACCCAGCAAAACAGGCCGTCTACTACCAGGGCACGGCCGGTCAGGTCTGGTATTTGGGAGACAACTTGGCTGCCATGGCAGCAGCTGAGTCCGCTTATGCTTCGGCCTTGGCTTCAGGCAGCAGCACGGCCGCAGCGCAAACGGATGCCTTTACCGCCTTTGTGGCCTCGCCCAATTCTTTTTATCGAGACACGGATGGCACGGTTATCCTCCTCGCCTCGGGTGCAGGCACGACCTTTCTGGGCACAACTGAGGGTCAGATCTTTGCTGCCACCGTAATGGGGTTGGTACAGGTTGCAGTGGGCACAGCCGCGCAACTCGACGGCCAGATGCGTGCCATCATCACGCGCTTTGGCAACTACGGCTTCTCTCAGCGCCCTAGCTACCAAGAACTGTCGGACACGGCCGTGCGCCAAGCCATCTCAGACGCCATCCTCTTTACAAGCAACCCTGATGTGACCGTAGACATGTGTTTGCAAGGCAACACAGAGTCAGACTATTCAGGAGACACAATCAAAGCCTGCCTCCTCACCTGGGCCTCCAGCAAGGTTCCTCCGCCCTTGATTTATGGCGACCTGCCGACGGCGACCGTCAACGGCACTTTTGATCAGGTGCGTGGTCGCCCGTGCCCGCTTGTCTTGCTTGTGATGCTATTAATACTCGCTCATAATTTGCATGTGCTCCTTGGTTGCATCGCATCCCCCTGGCACACCAGATTGGAGCCATGCGCAGCGTGTGCCTGACCTACAATGAGGACCATCCCATGTTTGAGCGCCTGATCAATGACAATTTCGGGGTCAACACGACTAGTGCTGATCGCTTGCACATGCACTTGACTCACGAAGCGGCCGTGGGCGAGTACTATGAGGTCAGTTCAGATGGATGCATCTGTGCTGTCTCATAGTTGAACCCAAAGTGTGGGCACGATTGTCCTGACGTGCCCGACTCCTTCCATCCCAACTCATCGGTGGGCCTCTGGGCATTGCGCGCTGACCACGTAGGCACTGTACCAGGGCGCTAGTGGCACGGCCTTTGCCGCCGACAGCAACTTCAGCTCGGACAACTTTCTGTACCTGACAGAGCGATCCGTCGATGATACGATTGAGGATGCATCGCACATTGACACGGCTCTGGTGGTGGGGGCCGCTGTTGTGGTGGCCTTTTGGGCGGCGCTGTCAATGGTCAGCATCTATAGCGCGGTGTACACGCATGTATTCCTTGGCATCTGGGGTGTCATTGTCATTGCCCTGGGCACAGCTGCTGGACTGGGCTTTAGCGTATTTATTGGTCTCGACTTTAACCCGTTGTCCCTGGCCGTGGTCCCATTCATGTCCGTGGGTATTGGTATGTCGCATCGACTCGTCTGCGCCCCTTTGTCTGTGGTCTGTGGTCTGTGCTTGGCTCTGTTTTGGCTGTTCATCAATCTTATCCCCCCCCTTTGTCTTCCCTTTGGCAGGAGTCGATGACATGTTTGTGCTTGCACATGCATATGCGCGGGAAGTCCGTCAAACAGCTTCCGTGGGTGCGGTTGTCGCCCGTGCCATGGGTGAAGCGGGACCGAGCATCGCCTTTACTACCCTCATCAACTTTGGTGCGTGCCCTTGCCTTGAATCCCGCTTTGGCCTCTGCCAGCAATATGCAACTCACGCACGTCGATGGTGGCTTTTAGTTGCGTTCATGGTGGCCTCGGCCACGCGGGTGGAAGTGGTGGAGGTGTTTTGCTATCAACTCGTCATTGCAGTCATTTTCAACTTTATCGCGCTCTTTACGCTCTTCCTACCTGTCCTGGTCTGGGATGCGTATCGTGTTTTGGCCGATCGTGCGGAAACCTGCATCAGACCCTGCCACAACCAGGACAAGGCGCTGCAACCAGGATTTGTGGAGCAGCTCTTCAACAAGTACCTTGTTCCTATCATCCTTTCCAATCCTGGCCGGATCTGTATTTTGATCGCGTTCTTGGCGTGGCCAGCTGTATCGATCTGGCACGGTCAGTGCATCCGCCACCTCGATGCTTCTGGATGAAGCATCCCCTGCTCGCGTGTGCGACCCTGTTGCACCGTACACCTACCCCGGTGGCTCATGGTTCTGCTTGTTCCCACAGCCGCAACGGATGTTCAGCAAGGCTTGCGGGTGTCGGAGCTCACAGCCGAGGGCACTTCCATCAACGACTTTAGCGTTGTCTTGGAAGACGATTTCCTCATGTTCAAGGGCGACCTCGTCATTGTTTCGAGCGATTTTCCCAACGCGCAACAGGTTGGTGGTCCTCTGTTATAAGCTGTTGGTGGCTTTGGTTGTTATGTGCCTGCCAGCGCGGCTAGATGAGCGTTTTCCCAGGGATTCTCATGGCTCGGAGAATGTGCGCTTTTGGGACAGGCCATTTTCGATACGGTAGCATCATTGGAAGCGAGCCCATATGTGCAGCAAGTGCCTAAAATTTCGGCTTCGTTTTGGCTGCATGACTTGAACAACACCTACGGAACGTATGTCTAGGCCTCGCCCTGTTGCTGACCCTGCCCCCCACTTACGCGCCTGCTTGCACACGCATCACGCGCACGCTCACCCCTCGGCTTTTTGTTCGGGATGGGTTGATGTGCATGAACAGCGCTACCATGGCGGACCACACTGCCTTTTACTCGGCTGTCTCGGCTTGGCTGGGTGCAGCTGGTGTGACACAGCTTAGCAATCTGGTCTGTGCTGACAATCGAACAGACGCAGAGGTCGACTGTTTGACCCTCGTCGGGGCTTTTGACAGCCCGGCCGCAGCAGGCTCAAGCCCCTACACCGTTCTCAAGGCCACGCGGGGCGTCGTGTATCTCCCCAATCTGCGTGACACGGATGATTTTCTGGATACGATTCGTGACACTCGCGAGCGTGTGGACGAAGTGTCGCGAGCCTATCGTACCGCCAACCCGTCGGACGAGGACTATGAAGCCTTTGTCTCATCCTACGTATTTACCGTATGGGACCAGTATCTACACAGTATCGACGACTACTTGCTGATTGCGGGCTTGTGCCTCGTGGGCGTCTTTGTGGCATCGTCCATCTTCTCATTTAGCCCTTCGACGGGCTTGCTCGTCACTTTGCTCGTCTTCTTCATCCAAGTGGAGGTGTTGTCTCTTATGACGTGAGTCTGGTTTTGACACGCCACTCGCCAATTGGCTCTCCTACATCTCGCCACCAAGCAAGCCAGTTGTTCATCTGATCAGAGCTCCTGTTTTGCTCCCATTGTGCCCTACGTAGGGTGTGGGGCGTCAAACATAATGCCTTTAGCTTGGTCAATTTGTGCATCGCCATTGCCATGGGTGAGTGGACGCATGTCATGTTCAGCGCAGCACATTCCCCGCTGGTCTCAAAGCAACCTGTCATGGCATTATGAACTGGATGTGAATTGTAGCCGTGGAATTTACAGCGCATATTGCACATCAGTTTAAAGCGACCAACGGTGTGTGGATCTCTCTGTCGCCCATATCCCTGTGCGCCTATCTATCCGCATTTCAGAGACGTTGATGTTGAATTTCCAGCTCATGCCGAAAACGTTTGCTATCACAGAGGAATCTCGACTTGAACGAGCCAAGGCCTCGTTGGCATGGATGGGTCCAGCGGTGTTTCATGGCTTTGTCTCTTCCATTCTGGCGGTGTGCTTTATTGCTGGCAACGACGTGCCCTTTATTGTCACATACTTTTTTGGGGTGCGTAGCAACGACACCATTCTGGCGGAATGAATGCGGAGTGGGGAGAATAATAGGCAAGGGTGTGTAGCTCTGCGGCCAAACTCGGGCCGCTCACCTAAAATTTGTTTGCATTGCAGATGTTCTTTTGCACGCTTGTTGTCAGCGTCTTGAATGCCGTGTTCCTGCTTCCGGTCTTGCTCAGCCTTGTCGGTCCCGGCGGCGTGAACGTGAACCAGTATCTTGATGAGGACTATGCCAGCGGAGTGGAGTCTAAGAATGACTTTACTATGGCAACGTCAGCACGACAAATGACATCTGTGGCCCCCATGTCTGCCTGGGAACCACAAGGTGACTCTTCCAACGAGCATGGTGCTGAGGAAGTTGATGCCAGCGCCGACATTGTCATGTCCCGCCGCTTCTCCGTCCACATGACATAAGAGCCTTCTTTTTTTGTTTTTGTTTTTTGTTTTCCTTTTTTCTGGCCTGTTTGGATTTGTCATCTCAGAAGTCTGTAGTATGGCATGCCCATGTGACTTGGGCCTTGGTTGTGCCACCCCCCTTGAAAAAGGCTGATGGGATGGGCCGGTCAAGAAACGCTTTCAAAAACAGGGCAGGGTGAGTCTTATTCCTGACTGGTTTTTTGACAATTTTTTTGGATTTTTTTTTGTGCAATCGTTCTTGTGACGAATCTTGACTGCGAGGGCTTGGGAGGAAGACTGAGAGTTTGTCTGGTATCCCAGTGCGTGACGCTATGCCCATTCTGCGATGGTTTTTATCGTTTTTAATTGAAGCTGTGAGACAGACTTGCAAACTTGTACATGCTACATACACCTTGGGTTGGTTCAAAGTTTAAATCCAACCGTACTCTGTTAGCGTCAAATCCGTGCTTCCACGCATTTGAACACTCCCACTGCTTTCGCACACACTCAGCATCGGTCGCTATGGGTCTTCCTATTGGTATTCCATAGCTACGACGACCTCACACATTGACACCTACTTTTGGACCCCCTGGGCTTGATCCTCCTCGTGGCAGTCACATGAGTAAACACCGCGTGTGACGCGGTCCCCACGATGCCTGGGCAGCTGCCCTGGGGCAATAAGCTTGTGGCTACTGTTGTTTCCCTTTGTTGTGACACCTGCGGTCGGGCACGAGTTGCACTTTCCCTATCCTCGGGATTGAGCGACTCTACAGCTATTCTAACGGTGCACCTGGTCTGGTCACTGTGAATGCTTGCCGACCGCAGGTACGTCAAGCCCTCTGCCATTCTGTCTTCCCCTTGCTCTCCTGTGTGCTCTGCTCTCTTGTGACTTTCCCTATCCTCGGGATTGAGCGACTCTACAGCTATTCTAACGGTGCACCTGGTCTGGTCACTGTGAATGCTTGCCGACCGCAGCTGGTTCAATTGACCTCAAGACACCACCAAAGCTTTCGCTCCGCTCCGACGGACGTCTCTCAAACCTCTCTCAAAACGCTTCCTCAAACCTAAGCGCTTCCTCGCAACCCAAAGACGGCCTCCAGACGTGCTGGAGCCTGACATGGTAGCGATTGAAAACTTCGATCGACCGACCGCCCTTCTTCAATCTTTGCGCTGGATAGCAAATCCTCGCGCACCCGTTCGCGAACTGGGCCCCCGGC